ATTTGATAAGACAGGAATAATAAAACCTTTGTGTGGCTCAAGCGGGGCCTGGCAGTGTTTACACAAACACAGAAAACTTCCTGAACTCTAAGCTCAGGCTTTTCCGGCCTGGACCTTTCTTCAGGTCAGCACCCCGCTTCCCCTCCGACCACCGGGCACAGCTTTCCGCTGGCCTGTGACACTTGGGGAAAAGCTTTTGTTTTGCCAGAGCAATCGACTCTGGCTTTATTGTCCCAGCTTGGCTGCAAACGGCATCCTGAGCTGGGAACAAAAATGCACCTTCTGCAGGATTCGCTCTCAGAAGGGATCAGGGCCTGCGGCACTGGCTGGAAGAATATTTGGATATAAAAAATGTAGCCCTTGCTATGAGGGGTTTGGTTTACCCTGCCTGAGGGGCCTCCCCATGGTCTATGTGGAAGGAAGCAGGGCACAGGTTGGCGAAAGCCACTTCTGTTCCCTGGATGGATGCCAGCCTGCAGGACCCCCTACAGAGACACCTGAGCTGCAGAGGAATGAAAAGGGAATCCTTACTAGCAGCATCCGTGACTTGTCTGAGGGCCTGGAGGCCTGGCCACCATCAGGATTTCATTTCACTGGGCACCGCATGCCAGCTTAGCCAGAGCCCGGCCCCATCCTGCAAGCAACGGGTGGGGCACAGGAGGTGGAAGCCAGCCCCAAAGAGCCCTGTGCCCATGCTGCACTCCCAAGTCCTGCAGCAAAATGCCGGGGCAGAGTCCAAGTGCTTCACCTTCTTGGGACCCTGGTTGGCCGTTCAGGAGAAACTCATACTGCTCCATCTTGCCGAGCGGGAGAGTAAGGTGAAGAGCCTGACTCGCAGGGTCACAGTACAAGCCCAGGGCAGAGCTGGGCCGTTGGGATGCAGTCTCTGGTCTGCTGCTGCAAACATAGGACCGGGCTGCCTCTCGAGCAAATGCGGCTTTGGGTAGCGAACGTTCAGCGATTTCCCGCTCTCCACAGAGACTGCAGCAGCTCTCCGGTGCAGAGGATGCAGTGTGCTGCTCCAATATACCCCTCACCAGGGTACACACATGCCTTTCCCCGTCTCATCACGCGCAACACAGACGTGATGCTGATTTTCTCCTTCCATGTCTACGATGCAGCCTATGCCTGGAGTGCTCAGCTGGGCAAAGCAGCCTGCTCAGAGGGGACACGGCATCAGTGCGGTTTTCCCAGGCTCCTGCAGACAGCTAGGCACCAGCACACAGAGGACCAAGCAAAGTCTCAGCTCTGCTTTGCTCTTGTTGTTTTGAGTCAAAGCCACAATCTATTCAGATAACGCTGCTAATGTGTGGGAGCGCAACAGTCAAGCATTTATTCTGGCCGTGGGGGCCAGCGCACAGTGCAGGGAACCATTTTTCAAAGGAAGCCTAAGTTTTCACCAGGTGATCCAAAGACAAACTGGCCACGAGGGAACAAAAGTCACTAAAATAGCATGTGTGAACACAAATACAGTTCCACACAGCAGCTTTCACCTGCCCCAAGGCCAGGATCTGCATCAGATTCACGAGATGAACACCTCTCCCGATGGCTGAGCAGGCCCCCTGCCCACGCGCTGCCGGAGGACCTGCAGGGCTGCTTGTTTCAGAGCTAGGCAGCACCCTAGGAACTGCAAGGGAGCCAAAGGACACAGAAAGCCGGGAGGCAGGGGCAACTGCCCCTCCGCCCCTGACAAGAGCTGCATTTCTGCAACAGGCTGCAGGCACCACCGTGCCTCCCCCATGCAGGGACTACAGCATCCACATCCTAGACCCAAAGCACAAGAAGGAGAAGCTCTGCGGCACACACAACAACTACACTACACAGCAGTTAAAGCCAGAGCCATGAACCAGACCCCATGGTCCTAGCTACCAGCCCTTTCCCCAGCCACTATGCTTCAGTCCACTGGAGTACACAAACCAGGCGGCACAAAGGGAAACCCCAGCTCCTGGTAGAGAAGGCTGCCAACTTAGTGCATACGCAGGCACGAGAGATCCCGGCCCAGGCTGCAGCACAGGGGAGCAATGCTGGGCAGACATACCTCAGGTCTGAGCCAGCACCCGGGCTCACTCTGGGGCTCAGCACAGCAGGGGCAGCAGGTACACGGCTGTGCTCTGGGCTGCAGCTCCTCTTACCTTTCCTGAAGCCTGGTGATGTCTGGGCAGACTCAGGCCTCCCCTCTGTGCGCTGCCCCGTGGGCCAGTTCACATGCTGCAGAGAGCAACGGACAGTGCTTCAGCTCGGGGGGCAGAGACCGTCCTTCCTTCCTTGGGATTTGCCTGCTGGGTAAGACCGGACAAGCTTGGGACCTGTCCTACAGAGCTCCTAGCGTGGAGACAAGGCGGGGAGTCCTGACACTGCTGGGCTCAAGTGCCACTGTGCAAAAAGCAAAGGAGCCCCTTGTTGCTCTTGGCTTCTGGGACCAGCTGAAGCCCTCCAGGTAGGGCTAGCTTCTCACACAGGAAACTTTGCTGACATGGGCCAGAAAGACAAAGACCTGAAGAACCAAGAAGCTCAGTCAGACAAAAAGCCCCACAGAAAGCTGCAGCCCCCTCAGGCTGTGGCCTCACCTCGTTACCACAATAGCTCCCACCTGC